CGCCTTCCAAATCACGCGGATCTGGCATTTTGACCCCCAAAATGTGCGGGTACTCGCGTTTTGGCGAACGAAATGCTAGGATATCTGGCATTTCGCCTGCCGAAATCCGAGGATCTGGCATTTCGCCCGCCAAGATGCTGGGATCTCGCATTTCGGGGTGCAAAATGCACGGATCTGATAAACATTTCGGCTTTCTAAAAAAAAAAACAAAAACGAAATGTTCTATTAATAAAACGGCTTTCTTTTCCCAAATTACCGAAAAAAAAACGGTCCGTATAAAACGGACCGTATTTTTTGGAAACCGTATTTTTGAACCTTGCTTTCAGCAACCACTCGTTTCCTTCCACATCCCTCCCCCCCCCTCCCTTCGCCCCTGTCACATTTCTGCTCCTTGCCATAACCATGATCGGCTCCCTCCTCCCTCTACCTCACGCCTCCACCACCTGCCCCCCACTTGTGTGTGTCCAGCGCTGCTCCTGCGCCACTTCCGGTCGCCCGCGTGGACCGTGGTCATCCACGCGGTGCCCATCGCCCCTGATGCCGCCCCCTCGCCCCTGCGCCCCTTCCTCGTTGTCGCCACCAACACCACGACCACCTCCTCCCCATCCGCCTCCTCACCCTCCCCCCCGTCGTGTCCCGTGCCGCTAGTGGCGACGACGTTCCCGCGCGTGGGCAGCAACGGCATCCACCCCGAGCAGCTGGCGGACCTCTTCACCCTCGTGGACCAGGAGAACCTTATCCGATCCGCACCCCCCTTTCCCACACCGCTCCCTGCTGCCGCCGCTGCTGCCACCAGTGTAGACGCCGCACGCTCCCAGTCCCCTCCCTCTGCGCACCCCGCCTCGCCCCCCACCTTGGCATCCTTAGCAGCATACAGTGGTGGCCGGCGCGTGCTGTGCCACCTATCGCCGCATGTGCCAGGGGGGCCAGCAGCAACAGCCGTAGCACGTGGTGGGGATGGTGGGGAGAGTGCAGGGTGCGAGATTGCTCTGATGCCACCTGTGCCTGCTGACAGCGCCTCTCCCTCTGGCAGCCATGCAGCAGCAGCAGGTGGTGGTGGGGTCGTCAGTGCGTTCACGGCCACGGTGCTGGACGCCACGCCTGCCATGCTGGATGGGGCCTCCCTGCCATGCGCTGTCTTCCTCGTGCCACAGGTCACTGCTGCCACATGCCGCTTCTGCTTGCTGCATGGTGCATGGTGCATGTGACAGAACCTGCATCCGTGCTCGTCCACAAGTGTCTCAGAACCTCTGCTCGTTGCGCGCTGCATGTGGCGCACGTTGTGATTACAACTTGAATTGCTGTCACACGGCACATGGCACATGCCATACGGCACATGGGGCATGCCATACGGCACATGGGGCATGCCATATGGCACATGGGGCATGCCATACGGCACATGGGGCATGCCATACGGCACATGGGTTATGCCATACGGCACATGGCACATGGCACATGCCATACGGCACATGGCACATGCCATACGGCACATGGGGCATGCCATATGGCACATGGGGCATGCCATACGGCACATGGGGCATGCCATACGGCACATGGGGCATGTTTTGCGGTACGTGGGGCATGTTATACGGCACATGGGGCAATATAGCACATGGGCACGCCATACCCCTCACCACGGAGCGCTGCCATCTTGCGTGCATGCGTGGCGTCACCCCCCGCCATGTGTGGCAGGGCATGAACCGCGACTGGCTGTACGCGGCGGAGGAGGGCCAGTGGCAGCTCGTGGAGTCCGCCAATGCGCAGCGCCTCATCCTGGTAACCACTGCCCTGCTCCACATGCGCTGGATGGGCGGGTTGAATCAACAACGCATGTGTGCTGATTTATTCTTGTTTCCGCAAGTGCCATTTTAGTTTGTATTCTGTAATCCTCTTTTTTTACCCTCCTCGCCCTGCTATCCCCCAACTACCTGCCATGGCAACAGGTGCAGCAGAACGAGCAGCCGGGACAGAAGCCCTTGCCCATGGCTCAAGTGCAGGTGAGAGTGCTGCCCGCCACTGAGTTCCATTTCTGCCCGCACTGCTCTCTATGCTCTTGTGGGCGTGGCACTGCAGTGCAGTTCATAGCAGACACAAAGTGCATCGCCCATTGCTGACACAGCAGAATGCAGTGGGGCAAGCCAGTGCAGCATGCCATTGATCACGCACCTTGCACTGTTCTGACTGACTACCGTGCTGTGTGCTGTGTGATGTGTGCTCTGTGCTCTGTGCTCTGTGCTCTGTGCTCTGTGCTCTGTGCTCTGTGCTCTGTGCTCTGTGCTCTGTGCTCCGTGCTCCGTGCTCCGTGCTGCTTGCTGCGTGCTGCGTGCTGCGTGCTGCGTGCTGTGTGCTCTGTGCTCTGTGCTCTGTGCTCTGTGCTCTGTGCTCTGTGCTCTGTGCTCTGTGCTCTGTGCTCTGTTCTCTGTGCTCTGTGCTCTGTGCTCTGTGCTCTGTGCTCTGTGCTCTGTGCTCTGTGCTCTGTGCTCTGTGCTCTGTGTTCTGTGCTGTGTGCGCCCTGCACGGCCCGCCATGCCACCAGGAGGAGCTGTCGCCGCTCGTGCTGCAGCTGGCGCCTGACTTCTGCAAAAAGACTCGCTACGCCATCCCGTGAGTGCTGCCCGGCATCCCGTGAGTGCTGCCCGGCATCCCGTGAGTGCTGCCCGCCATCCCGTGAGTGCTGCCCGCCATCCCATGAGGGCTTCCCGCCATGGCTGGGGCCCTTGCTCGCTGTGCCATCGCCTCCACCCCCCCAGCACTAACACCACCGCTGTTCTGCTGCTGACAACCCTGCCACACCAACTGTTGTCTATCACACCTATCTCCTGCCGTGCCCCCCCCGCCTGCATGCGTGCAGGTACATGACGACTGAGACTGCTGCCGTCACTGGCACACTCGTCGCTGAGGTGAGTTCTTGCTGCCCTTCCTGCTCGCTCTCTTGCTTCCCAACTATCATGCGCCACCACGCCCATTCCTAATTGCAGTGCATTTTCCCCATCCCTCTCTCTCCCGTCCTCACTCCGTCCCATCCATGTCGCCCCTCCTCCCCCCCATCAGGTGGTGTCCCCATTGACGGGCGCCATTCTGGTGCTGGACGACGTGTCGTCACCCCCCCAGTGCACGCGCAAGCTGGTGTTCCGCCGCAACCCCAACCTCGTGCAGTCCGACGCCGCGCTCCTGCCCGCGCCGCCCACACGCCCTGCAGCAGCGCATGATGAGGAGAGCGGCAGCACGGGCACTGGGGCGTCCGGAGGCGTAGCGAAGACAGGAGGGAAGAAAGGTGGAGCGGGAGGGGCTGAGAAGCAAGGGAAGGGAGCCGCCGCAGCAGCAGGTTTGACGACAGCAGGTGTGAGCAAGAAGGGCAGGCGAGCCGCGGCGAAAGCAGCGAGGAAGCAGCAGGCGGCAGAGGAGGGGGGGGTGGTGCAGTGGGTGGTGGATCACGGGCAGCTGGCGTCGCAGTACCACGGCGCCATGGTGGCGGGGCTCAGCCTCGTGGCGCCACACATGGAGGCCCGGGAGAGGAGCAGCGCACAGGTCCCCGCACTGCCCTGCACGCCCTGCACGCCCTGCACGCCCTGCACGCCCTGCACGCCCTGCACGCCCTGCATTGCCCATGCCCGTTCAGTGGAGGCGCATTCTCGTGTGTCTTCGATTTATCACTCTGAGCCAGCCCAATTGGCCCAACCATCCGATTCAGTGTGCACATGAAAGCGCGCCTCACGGCGACTCCCCCTCTTCCCCATACGCCCACCCCCCTGAGCAGCTGACAGCAGCCGTGATAGGGCTGGGCGGAGGGGCTCTGCCCATGTTCCTGCGGCAGCACTTCCCCTTCACGCGCATCACGGTGCGCCACCCACGCGCCCGCGCCACAAGCAGCTTGCTCCTCCTCGCACCAGGCATCTCTTGCTGCTGGTCCCCGCCTTCAGCTTCCTCCCTCGCCCTCACTCCTGCTAACCACCCCACCATTCACCCTGCTCAGGAAATCTCCTGCTCATGGGAAGCCCTTTCCTTGGTGCCTGTTTCCCTCTCCTTGCCTCTCGTTCATGCCTCAGTGCCAAGGTGCACTGCATAGGAACAACATCGTCTTTCTGCCTCATTCTGACCTGTCCCTGTCGACTGTGCGCCAAGCCCCTTGTCCCAGTGTGTGTGCGTGTGTGTGCTGGCGGGTGTGTGCAGGTGGCGGAGTTGGACGCGGTGATGGCACAGGTGGCGAGGGACCACTTTGGCTTCGTGCACGACTCTGTGCTGCAAGTGAGTGCCCCTTGTCGCGTGCCACCATCACTCCATTGTCCCATGCGTCACGCCTGCATTTCTCGCCATCCTAACGCCTTGCCCCTTCACTCGTGCGCCCTCCCCCCTGGTGTGCGTGGCAGCTGCACATTGGGGACGGCGTGGCGCTCATCCACTCCATTGCGGCTGCCCAATGCTGCACCCAAGGGGGGGACGATGGGGGGGCAGAGGATGGCAGAGTGGCAGCAGTGGAGCATGCGGCAGCTGTGCTCTCCCTGACACGCGAGGCTGAACCAGGCACGAGAGGGCAAGAGGGAGTGCTCGTGGCAGAGGAGGGAGGGAAGCTGGACGTTATATTTGTGGATGCGGACTCGGATGACCCCAGGTATCCATCGCAACCTACTTTCTTGCCGCTCTCCTCTGCACCACAACTGTTGTCTCGTCCCCCCTTCCCCGTCTCGTTCCGCACTGTTTCCTCAGCGGCACTGCCTTGTTTCTTCTCTTGCCGGGTACCATGCTATATTACACTGTTCCGCCGATCCCACAATCTTGATGTTTTTGCTCTAATTTTTTCTTTTGGGTTCTTCCTGCTCCCCACTGCGCAGCACGGGAATGAGCTGTCCTGCACAGGTCTTCTTGGAGCCGCACTTTCTTCAGTCTGCGCGAGCTGCTCTGAGTGAAAATGGCATGCTTGTGCTTAATGTCGTGGCCCGTGCGAGCACCAAATACAAGGAGGCTGTAGTTGCTGTGCGTAAGGTGAGCTTGGCTGTAGCTCAATGTTGAAACTGGCGTGCGTGTGCGCAATGTTGTTGCTTGACTCTCGCTCTAAGTCTCACTCCACAGATTGCATCACCACTCATTGTGCTGCCTGCCATGTACCCTCCTCTTGGGTGTGTGCGCCTCGTCTCGCCCCACGAGCAGGTGTTCCCAGCCGTCTATGACCTTGACGTTGACGGGGACATCAACCGGGTGCTCTTTGCCCTGCCTGCGGTGCCGCCTGCACTCGCTGTGTGCCCAGATGAGGCATCAGCAGGGAAGGCTCTCAAGCTTGGTGCTGTGCGCGTGGCAGCACTGGCTGGGAGGTTTGCTCCCTGGGGGAAGGGGCCTTCCCTGGTGAAGCTGGCAGACAGTCTGAGAGTAGCCACATGACGTCCTGCGAAACCATGTTAGACATGGTATGAAAGGTTTTCAAGCAATACTCTTTCAAAATGCGTTTCTTGGCTCGAATCTGCTTGTAATGTAATTTTGGCATTGTCGAAGCACGTTTGTCGACCTTCTCCCAGTCAGTTGTCCAAGAGGCGGAAGATGAACGAGATCCTCAGTGTGTCAACTTATACATATCTTATATGTAGAAGTTATAGGCTAGATAGGATGTTTTCTTAGAGAGGACGTACCAACTCTATATCTTGTACTCTCTTGTTTCTATAATTCATTTTCTTGTTTCTAGCATGGTATCACAAGAGGTAGGTCCCCCCCCACCCACTTCCGCCCCGCGCCCTAGCCTACTGCGCCTCGCTAGCCCCTAGCCGGCCCCTCGCGCCCCCCTCACGGCCCCCTCGCGCCCCCAGCCGGTCCCTCGCGCCCCTCGCGCCCCTCGTCGGCCCCTCGCGCCCCTCGTTGGCCCCTCGCGCCCCCTCGCCGGTCCCTCACGGCCCCTTGCGCCCCTCGTCGCCCCTTCGCGCCCCTCGTCAGTCCCTAGCCGGTCCCTAGCCTCGTCGGCCCCTAGCCGGTCCCTCGCGCCCCCTACGGCCCCTCGCGCCCCTACCTGGCCCAGCGCGCCCCCCCACGGCCCCTCGCGCCCCTAGTCGGACCCTCGCGTCCCTACGGCTCCTTGCGCCCCTAGCCGGCCCCTCGCGCCCCCTACGGCCCATCACGCCCTCCGGCCCCCTCGCGCCCCAGCCGGCCCCTAGCGCCCCTAGCCGGCCTCTCGCCTGTCCTAGCCAGCCCCTAGCCGACCCCTCACCTGTCCTAGCCGACCCCTACCTGGCCCCTAGCCGGCCCCTAGCCGACCCCTAGCCGGCCCCTAGCCGGCCCTAGCCAGCCCCTAGCCGGCCCCTAGCCGGCCCCTCGCCTGCCCTAGCCGGCCCCTAGCCGACCCTCACAGGCCCTTTGCGCCCCACCTGGAGCACCCTTCCACCGAGCAGCTGTGCCGCCGAGCTGCCGAGCCGCCGCGCGGTCGTACCGCCGAGCCGCCAAGCTGCTGTGACTCCGAGCTACCGTGCCACCGAGCTGCCGAGCCGCCGAGCAGCTGCGTCGCCAAGCCGTCGAGCCTCCGAGTCGCTGTGCCGCCGCGCCGCTGAGCTGCTGTGTCGCTGTCCCACTGTGCGATGGCGGACGCAGTTATTCGTTTGGACGCTGAGGGGCACGCGGTCGACTTCGCCGCCTGGCTCGTCGACCTCCGCCGGCACCTGACAGGTCAGCGCCAGGATGGGCACTCCCTGACTATGCATGTTGATGGCTTGCTCCCCCGCCCCCCTGCGCCTGGTCCCCTCCTTGCTGACCCTACCACTGTTGAGAGCGAGGTCTTTGCTGCTGGTGCTACGCTCGCTCGCGCTGTCTGGGATTCTCGCGATGCTGTAGCGCAGCTTGCCATTAGCCATGCCCTTCCCCAGTCTGAGCGTCCGCGCTTCACCACTGTCGCAGACGCCAAGGACTTTCTCGCTGCAATAGTTGAGCGTTACTCCACACCTGCTTCCGCCTCTGCTGGCTGCTTGATCCTACCCATGTTCCTCCCTGATCTTTCCGCTTAACGTACACGTAAGCCCGGGAAAAAAATTGAGGCCTGCCCGGCGACGTACACGTAACGTACGCGTAACGTAACGTACACGTAAAGTTACGCGTACTTTACGTGTACGTGGGCTAAAGTCACGTAAGGTACCAACTTAGGTTTAAACGCTAAACGCTGCTGCTTGAGTTTCTAAACGCTAAGGTAAACGCACTCTCGGGCAGCCGGAAAAAAATTTCCGGGCAGGGTAAAAAAACCTGGGATAGGTAGGGGGAGGCAAGGGGATTATGGTTGACAACAATTTTCCTCCAAATTATATCACATAAAAAAAAATTGGCATGTCAAATCCACATGTCAACGACAACCACATGTACTACCTACTACCACCCTCTAATCAACAGCACCCTCCGTCTTCCTTCCTCCACCCTCCTACCCAAAAGCCCCCCATGCTTCTTAACCGCCGCCGCCACTCCCTCATCTCCTCCTACTCCTCCTCCTCCTCCTCCCCATACTCGTCCTCAAGCACGGGCTCATCTCCATACTCATCCTCCTCTAACTGCCCCTCCTCATCGACGTTGTATCCTTTTGGAATGGGAGCATCCGGGATGTTCCCCGCAAGAACCGCCCTAGTCTCCTCGCTGGTTTTGTGCCAGTTGCGCACAACGTTCCAGTTGTGCGCAACAAACACCAAGTCCCGGCACTTCTCGGGCCCGAGACGGTTGCGGCGTGCAGTGTGCACCGATTCCCACACTGCCCACCCGCGCTCGCAGCTGGATGCAGACACCGGCTGCGTGAGCACACGACACGCGAGCTCTGCCAGCTCGGGGTGGTCGGTCCCGTGCCAGGTCCACCAGTCCTCCATACTTAGACTCCCCTCCTTCACTTGCTGCCGCTGCATTATTGCGTCGGGTTTGCCGAAGGAACCCCTCAGCTTCAGGAATGCAGTCACTCCCTCCTGCAGTACCACTACCGCACTCTTCTCCTTTGCCTCCTTACGATCGATGGTGATGGTGCTGCTGTATCGGCCAATGAACTCCTTAAACAGGTCGGTGCACTCCTTGTCGGGGCCAAAGATCTTAGCAACCTGGTTGGCCGGGTTGAGGATCCGGCCAACAGCATGCAGTGGGCAGGCCATGCTGACGTCCCACCGATGCTGGATGATCTCCCCAATCCCCTCCTTATCCTCCGGCGTCAGCTGCAAGTCTTCCTTCTTCAACAGATCAGTCACGTCCACAGTGAGTTTGAGCATGAGCTCATAAATCTGCCCCATCATCCCCTTGGCCGAGGAGTCAGTCGACCGCATCACAAGGTAAGGCAGTTTCAACAGCTTGACAAAGAACTCAGCTGCTGCCCACCAAGCCTGGTTAAGCACAATGCTCTGGATGGAATCGGCCGCTGCCTTCTGCTTCCCTACGGCCCACGCCTTCCACGTTTCGCCTGCCACCAACACAGTCAGCTTCCCGTGGAGGTCTACAAGCCTCGACACTGCAATGTACTGGGTTCCGAACCGGGTGCCCGCTGGCTTCAACAGCTGCAGCACCTTGCCCCTCAGCTCCCCTGGCTCGCGCAAGAAGTTCCTCGTCCAGTGGTGATTGCGGACGTAATTTATCACCTCGTTCGCACCCTCAACCACCCTCTTCGCCCACGCCTGCTTTCCCACGTCTTCCATGAGCAGGTCTAGGACATGAGTGGCGCACGGCACATGCTTAATGTGCGGCCACTCCTCCCTCAACACCTTGCAGGCCTTGCCGTAGTTACTCCCCCCATCCGTGCATAGCGCCACCACATTCGCAGGCCCGATTTTCTGGATGATAGGGTGGAGGATGCCGGCAATGTACCCGCCTGTCTTCGTCTCCATGCGGCAGTCAATGCAGTCGGCAAACATGGCGCCGAAGTCATTGACTAACATGACGTTCGCTTGCGGCCTCCCGCACCGGTCTGTCATCATGTCTGAAGCCACGGTGACGCCATGCCTCTCCCAATTCTGTTTGAGTGCATCAAGGGCGAGATCGATGCGGGTGCGACACTCCTTCAACCCCGCTCCTCCAATGTACGTGCGTTTGGGCGGCACGTACGTTGTTCCCGCACGAGCGACCGCATGCACGGCATCGACGAAGAGTGGGTGGTCGGCATGACGTTCTGGGATGCGGAGGGCTGCAAACATGAGGCACAATGCCGCATCCGCCTCACGCTTAGCACATGCCGCGCCGTTGCTGAAATACGTAGTTATCTTGCCCCGCTTTCCCCCTCCCCCCACGGCCTCCACCGCATCCGCGACCTCCTTACGCTTCTGGGCCTTGACAGACGCCTTCCCTTCGTATAGTGCCTGCATTGCCTCCCTCACCTCCTTTGGCGCCGAGGGACATTCCTTGACCTCCCGCCGCCCCTGTCCTTCCCACTCCGCGAAATGCATAGCGCACCGGTTGGGAATGCCTACAAAAGACAGCCCGCAATAACGACATTCCACCCTAGCTGTGGCGACCCCGGCCTCCTTAACTCTAACTTTGTAATGCTTGTAAACATCATGATTAGACTCTGCCTCGTAAATATTTGACGCTGCAGACGCTGTAGGATTAGCGTCTGCAGCACCATTAGGGGGGGTCGACATGGGCGTGGGCCCTTAACTTAGCGCGAAATTAGGTGGCAAGGGTGAGTGGGCGTGGGAGATGAGAGAATGACGACTAAATCTGATCTACGGCTATGTCGCGCGGAACTCTAGGGTTCCCGTTTCTCATGGGGAAGAGATTGTGATGGAAGAAGGGGAGAAAGTGGTTAGGTTGGAGTGGCCGTAGATGAACAGGGTGCTGTGCGGTTGAGCGGGGCAAAAGAATTGGATGCGTTTTTTGGTCGCTAGGTTGGGATTTGCGACTTGGCGAATGTCTAGTTGAATTCGCCAGGTCGCAATGTCGCGAAAAAAATTTGGTCGATTTTTTAGTCGGGCTGCCCCTAAAATTTTACCCGAGCGTTTAGCGTTTTACCACGCGTTTAGCGTTTAGCGTTTAAACGCAGCGTTTAAACGCTAAACGCTGCCCCGCCAGAGCGTTTGCGGTCACGTAGATGGACAGTGCATGTGATGGACAGGTGCGCATGTGATGGACAGGTGTGCATGTGATGGACAGGTGCGCATGTGATGGACAGGTGTGCATGTGATGGACAGGTGTGCATGTGATGGACAGGTGTGCATGTGATGGACAGGTGTGCATGTGATGGACAGGTGTGCATGTGATGGTCAGGTGTGCATGTGATGGACAGGTGTGCATGTGATGGACAGGTGTGCATGTGATGGACAGGTGTGCATGTGATGGACAGGTGCGCATGTGATGGACAGGTGTGAATGTGATGGACAGGTGTGCATGTGATGGACAGGTGTGCATGTGATGGACAGGTGTGCATGTGATGGACAGGTGCGCATGTGATGGACAGGTGTGCATGTGATGGACAGGTGCGCATGTGATGGCACGTGATGGTATGTCATAGGGTGATGTGCGCATGCGGGTCTGGCATGTGATGCGGGGTATGGCATGTGATGCAGTTATGGCATGTGATGCGGTTATGGCATGTGCTGCGGTAATGGCATGTGCTGCAGGTATGGACAAGTGTGAAATGTGCTGTGCAGTGCTGTCGTATAGTGTGCATTATGGGCATGCGGCAATATGGAGCAGCTCACGTACTGGCAAGGTCCCCGGTATGCCACTTAGTTTGTGTGTGTGTGGGGTTCTCTGTGTGTGTGTGTGTGTGTGTGTGTGTGTGTGTGTGTGTGTGTGTGTGTGTGTGTGTGTGTGTGTGTGTCTGTGTGACTGTGTGTGGGTGTGACTGTATCAGGCGGTCAGTGGAGATATCGCTGGTCATCCGCCAAACACTAGAAGCAGCCATCATGCTCGAGCTTCTTCCACGCACTCAGGTGAGGTGTGGTGATGGGCTCTGTTATGCAGTGATGTGCGCTGGTATGCGGTGATGTGCGCTGGTATGCGTTGATGTGCGCTGGTATGCGGTGATGTGCGCTGGTATGCGGTGATGTGCGCTGATATGCGGTGACGTGCGCCGGTATGCGGTGATGTGCGCTGATATGTGGTGATGTGCGCTGGTATGCGGTGATGTGTGCTGGTATGTGGTGATTGAGGGGCTGTTTCTGGCTCACAGGTGACTTGGCATGCTGCCTTGTAATGCAGTCGTGTGTGGGGATAAGGTTTTTGTCTCGCAGGCAAGGTGAGGGCTTATGCGTCGCGCGTATGAGCCAGTGCCGCACAGGTGAATGGTTGATGATATGCGTGTTTTACTGCATGTACCAATCTGCCTTGTACGTACACGGTGCACCTTGTTGCTGCATGCCATCCCTTTGGAACGGTTTGCCATGTTGAAGTCGAACAAGCGACTTGTCTTTCTTACATTTTTAGGGTATTCGCTCGAAATGTGTCGCGCGTTTCAATATTTTCAAACACAGCTCTCGGCCTTCTTCTGGTCGAACCTCATTTCGATTCGGGATGCATGAGCGATGTCATACGCTGCGCGTGGGTGCTCAGTGGGCAGAGTGGTTTAGTTTAAGAAACTTGAAACGCGCGGGGCATTTTGCGCAAATACCCTAAAGAAATGCAAGTGGCGGCATGTTGGCATTGCATTGCATGCATATTAGTTTGGTGTTCTGTTCATTAGCCCCGTTGCTGACCTCCTCCCATCTCTTCTCTCCTGCATGTCACATGCCATTATCCCTTGTCATGCCACTCCGTTCCATGTTTCTTGGTACGCACTTCAGATCGACATTTTTGTTCAAGTCTTGCAAGCTGATGGCGGTAAGGCGTAGATGGATGGCCGTGCGGATGCCAGAAGAGAGACCAGAGCTAAAGAAAGCCGTGCATGAAGGGTCGTGGTCTGACACTAGCAAAGCAGCTAACCATCCATCCTCCTCCCTCCACCTTCATCCATCCACTTTTTATCTCGTTCATCTCCCATCATATTTGATCAAGACTCATGGGTCTGAGGTCATGGGTCTGAGGTCACTGTTGTCAATGACTATGTGTCTTTGGCGTTCGTTGTGGACTTGTGGAGCGCTCTCTTGGGCGCTCTCTTGGGCACTCTCTTGAGCACATGCATATGTCTCTTCTCTTGGCCTTGCGTTACTGCTGTTACCACTCTCTTGGCATTGCGTTACTGCTGTTGCCACTCTCTTGGCCTTGCGTTACTGCTGTTACCACTCTCTTGGCCTTGCGTTACTGCTGTTACCACTTTCTTGGCCTTGCGTTACTGCTGTTACCACTCTCTTGGCCTTGCGTTACTGCTGTTACCTCTCTCTTGGCCTTGCGTTACTGCTGTTACCACTCTCTTGGCCTTGCGTTACTGCTGTTACCACTTTCTTGGCCTTGCGTTATTGCTGTTACCTCTTTATTGGCCTTGCGTTATTGCTGTTACCTCTTTATTGGCCTTGCGTTATTGCTGTTACCTCTTTATTGGCCTTGCGTTACTGGTGTTACCTCTTTCTTGGGTTTAGGTCCCACTCATACACCATCCTAGCACATGTTGGTACTCCTCAAACTTACTGCCCCAAAAACCTTTCCTCCTCTTTCCACCATCGTCCCTTGCTCCCCGTTTCCTCCTTTCCTGTTAGCCTCAACCCTCTCTCCCAATCCTTCTATTCCCATCATTTTTCATGCATCAACAGCCACCCCCCTCCACACACACACCCCTCCACACACCCCCTCCACACACTCCCCTCTACACACTCCCCCCACACACTCCCCTCCACACACCCCCTCCACACACTCCCCTCTACACACTCCCCCCCACACACTCCCCTCCACACACCCTCTCCACACACTCCCCTCTACACACTCCCCCCAACACACTCCCCTCCACACACCCGCCCTTCCATTCCACCCGAGGCACTCGTGCTGCATTCATCAACGCAGCGACCCGCGCACTGTGCCATGCAGGCAACTGCACATGCCCATACCCATGCCCCCTCCACACCCTCGTCCCTGCCCCACCACTTCAACCCAGGCACACGGTCCGCATGCATCAATGCAGCGACGCTCGCTCTGTGCCATGCGGGTATCCCCATGCGAGATCTGGCTACCAGCTGCGCCTCTGGTTACCTCAACGCCACTCCGCTGCTAGGTGAGCTAATCCTTGGCGCCACATCAGCGACCTCACCACCACAGGCCCCCTTATAACCTCGTGCCACCCCATCACCTCGTGCCACCTCATCGCCTCGTGTCACCTCTCCACGACAGCCACCTCACTGCGTTGTGCCGTTTCATCGCCACATCACCATCCCTTCCCAGCCCTGCTTCTGAGTCGACTCAAAAGTCACCTTCCCAGCCCTGCTTCCCTCCATTACTGTGTCGTCTCATCCCCTTCCCCTCTTCATCCCCTTCCCCTCTTCATCCCCTTCCCCTCTTCATCCCCTTCTCCGCTCTACTTGCGCTCCCCATCCCTCTCCTCGTGCTGCAGACATCAACTATGTGGACCACAGTGGTGGCGAATCTGATGCTGCCCCTCTGTCCCTCTGCCCCGCTGTCCCTCTGCCCCGCTGTCCCTCTGCCCCATTCCCCATTCTCTCCCCTTTTTCCCTCCGGCTCTCTCACCGACCAGACCTCAACTACGTGGAGGACAGTGGCGGTGGCCCGGATGTCACAGTGGGTTACTTGCCATCGTCTGATAAGATCTCGCTGCTGCAGGTAGGGTCACATGTTGTCACTGTGTCACACACCATCATGAGTGTCAGTGGGGCGACTTGCCGTCTTCTGATAAGATCTCGCTGTCATGCAGTCACGGTCCACATGTAGTCATGGTTGCATGTAGTCACGGTCGCATGTGTTCACGGTTGCATGTATTCACGGTCCACATGTAGTCACGGTCGCATGTAGTCACAGTCGCATGTAGTCACGGTTGCATGTATTCACGGTTGCATTTATTCACGGTAGCATGTATTCACGGTCGCACGTAGTGAAGGTCGCATGTAGTCACGGTCGCATGTAGTCACGGTCACATGTAGTCACGGTCACAAGTATTCATGGTTGCATGTACTCATGGACAATATGGACCCGTGTCTGTCATAGTGGGCTACTTACCATCTTCTGATAAGAACTGGCAGTTGCAGGTTCACACAGTCATGGTCGCATATGTCATGTCAGATATTCTCAGAGTCTCACACTCTCAGTCACAGACTCATGGTCACACATTCTCATGGTCATACTCTCATGGTCACACCTCTAACAGTGGTGCAAGCCCGTGTCCCGGGAAGATTGGGCGGCAGAGCACATGCCAAGGGATGGCTCTCTTCTACCTGATGGCATGCCATTGTGCAACCCCCATCATATCTTACAGATGGACGCCAAGCTACAGATGGAGACATTCGAGGAGGTGGTCAAGCTCGCTGTCACCGGGTGCAAGGCCATAGCCCACCGCATGAGACAGGTGGGTAGGTGGGGATAGGAGTTTGACGAGGTTGGTGCATTTAAAAGGGTGAAAAACAAGGTTGGAGAGGCTGTTTTGATAATCCACATGCTGCCTTATCTTCGTGGTCCCTTTTATTTCTTTCCTCTTTGTTGTGTTTTGCAGGTGCTTATGGAGCACACCGAGCGTTTAGCGCTTGCTCGTGGAGCAATGAAATTGTAGATTGTGTTGAGAGGTTGTCCCATGCTTGTAATGTATTCCAGCGATTTAGGGCGTAATTTTATTAATTGCAACACAACCAAAAATCTATAACATGGTTGTGATGCTGGTTGTAGGTAATGGGACAACTTAGCGTCGGAAATGTCATGCGGGAGATGCAAAATGCCAGACACACGCGTCGCACGCGCCACGCCACGCGTCGGGCATGTTTGTGTCTGTCACTTTCGCAACAGTGATCGCCTGGACGACCAATCGAACACTGTTGCATAAATCTGATGTGTGCCGCGGTGTTCTATTAGAGTGTGTTCTTACCAGGGCTCACGCTAAGGTTTTTTGACACTGTTTTTCTCCCAGGTTCCCCACCCCCGTGGTAACAGAAAGAAAAATGATTGAACTAGAATGTGTGTGTACAAGGATATATAGACTAGGGTGTTGTACCCTCTAAGGCACAATCCAGTATAGTCTACAGTAACAACCTAAGTTACATTTGACACACCCCCTAGACTATATAGGGGCAGTGCCTAACAAAGGAAGAAGCAGCTCAGGGCGGCACTACTAGTCCAGCCTCTGAGACAAGGGTCTAAAGACCAGTCACAAGGAGTACAGACAAGGCAAGAGCAAGCCCAGGGCGGCACTACTAGTCGAGCCACTGGGAGAGGCCACAAGGCCAGTCTGGGTAAAAAATATATATAAAGGACAGTACAAAGTCAAGGCCCTAGCAAGTGAGAGGCTACAGGAACGAGACCCAGCTGTACACAGTGCCGCTGATGATCTTTAGGCGCAAGCGCCTTCGTAAAGATATCAGCTGTGTTGGCACCGGAGGCCAACTGTACTACGCGCGCCTGGCGACGCTGCTGCAGCTCACGCAGGAGGAAGTACCGCAGCTGAATGTGCTTCGCTCTGCCCTCGAGTCGAGGCTCCTGACACAGGAGGATCATGGCCCTGTTGTCAGCGTACAGGACCGGGACAGAGCTAGGCCGCTCACCTAAGTCAGTGAGCAAGAAGGTCAGCCAGCGGAGCTCCTGTGCCGCCATGGCACCGGCGTAGATCTCGGCCTCACAGCTGGACTGGGCAACAGGCGAGGAGCGGGTAGCTCTCCACGAGACGGCACCTGAACCAAGGCTGAAGCAGTAGCCCTGTGAGGACCTGGGGGTCTCGGCGTCATCTGCCCAAGAAGCGTCTGTGTGCCCAATAAGGACCACTGGCATGCGTCCTCCTAGCACTAACCCCATGCCCGATGTACTTGCAAGATAACGCAAAACCCTCTTAGCGGCAGACCAGTGCTGAGGTCGGTGTCTGCTTATAGCCACAAAGCGAGCCAGGATGCTGAGAGGGTATGCGAGATCTGGGCGAGTGCAAGTCATCAGGTACATGAGGCAACCCACCAGCTCTGCGTAAGGACCACTGGGCACTGCTGACTCCTCAGGAACTGGAGTGGAGAGCCTGTGGTCTAGAGGCAGAGGAGTGGGCTCTGCGGAGGAGTACTGAAGGCCGAACCTCTGAAGGACCTGGCGCACCAAGTGTGACTGAGTCAAAGTGATAGTGCGGGCTGCTCTGTCCCTGGAGATCTACAAGCCAAGGTAGTGGCGCAGTTCTCCAAGGTCAGTGCAGGTGTGTCTCTTCAGCAGCTCTGCCTTCACGGAGGCCAGTGCGTCCCTGTCTGCCGTGGCGAAGACCAAGTCGTCTACGTAAACAAGGATGTAGAACGGAGTCTGGCCAGCACGAACGAAGAGCGAGGGGTCTGCAGAGGACGGAAAGAACTGCAGGTCAGCAAGCGGAGCACGCAGCGTGTCATGCCACTCACGGGGAGCCTGTCGCAGGCCGTAGACGGGGCGCCGGAGGAGCCACTAGGTCCTAGGAGGGAAGGTACCAGTGAAGCCCTGAGGGTGGCGCAGGTAGACCTGCTCGTGTAGACTGCCCTGAAGAAACGCAGTAGAGAAGTCGAGGGAGTGAAGCTCGTAGTCACGCTGAGCTGCTACGTGTAGCAGCACCCGAAGAGTAGTCATCTTCGGGGTCGGAGCGAAGGTCTGGAAGAAGTCCACCCCCTCACGCTGATTGAAACCTCTAGCCACGTAGCGCGCCTTGAACACAGGCGGCTCTCCAGGAGGGCGCTTCACCTTGAAGAGCTAGCGGCCATCAACTATGTTCACCCCAGGTGGGGGAACTGCGTCGACGTAGGTGCCGGTGGATCTCCAAGATGCCATCTCCTGCTCCGTGGCAGCTATCCATTGAGAGGCCCAGGGTCCGGAGACCGCCTCAGCGTAAGTGCGAGGGGTCGGGATGTCGAAAGCGTCTGGGTCACCCTCAAGGACTAGAAGCATGGAACAAAGATGGGGAGCAGCCTCGGACAGGAAAGCAAGCTCGTACTGGCGGTCCTCCAGGACGTCACTGCCAAGGGCAGGAGCACCCCCGACAGACGGAGGACAGGCAAGGTCAGAGACCAGAGCGGTGGCATAGTCAAGGCGGTGGGTAGAGGCGAAGTCAGCGACCGCAGCGACAAGGGTGTCAAGGCGCGAAACCGGAACAGACGGGTCGGTAACGAGAGAGGCAAGGACCAGAGGAACAAGAGGACGAGCGGCACGCAGGTAGTCAGACAGAGGGGGGGAGCAACGACAAGGGAGGAAGGAGGGGGCGACGGGAGAAGGGGAGGACGAGACGCGTGGGAACGAAGCAACATAGGGTGAGACAGGGGAGACACGTCGAGCACGGGAGGGTGGGCGAGACCAGACGTGAGGAGTCGGATCAGGAGACAGAGGAGGGGACACAGGAGGGGAACGAGGGGGGAAACGGGCCGGAGACGCGTCCGGAGGAGGGAACACATGGCCGGAGACAGGAGGAGGAGGAGGCACGGGCACGGGGTTAGGGGACAGAAGGCCGAGCAGGCGAAGAGCGGACACCGGCGGGGACTGCTGTGACGGCGGTGTGACGCCGACACCGGGACCGCAAGCAGCCGGGTGGCTACCTCCAGAACACTCCACACCAGCACCCCCAGATCAAACACCCCCAGAGCTCAGAACCCCTCGAGCACGGGCACCACCCCCAGGCCCGCCAGGACAAGCCACGACAGGAGTTCCAGGACTAGTACCCAGCAACCCCAGGGAAACCAACTGCTGCGGCGACGGCTGCGGCGGCGGCGGTCGCAACGACGGTTGCGGCGACGGCGGCGGCGGTGACGACGGCTGCGACAGCGGTGGCGACTGCGGCTGCGGAGGCGGCAGAGGAGGGGACACCTGAGAAGGGGCAGGCGGTGAGGACTGCGCCGCAAGACTACCAGAGTCAGTAGACTCCTCAACTGGTACAACCGACGTAATTGGGGTGACGTGGGACACACCGGAGGGGGCAGGACGGGGAGGGGGAGGAGGAGGGGCGGCGACGACCGGGGAAGGGGTGACCGGGAACAGGGGGGGGGTAACCGGGGGACCTCGGTGGGGGAAGCGGCAGAAGAAGGAGACGGACCCGTCAAAGGTGACGTCACGGGAGTGAAAGAACCTATGAGACGGCGGGTGGTAGAATTGCCAGTCAGACGCGTCAAGGGGGAAGCCGAGGAAGACACAGGGAAGGGTGCGGGCAGTGAGCTTGTTCGTGCCAGTGGCACGAACGTGAGCAAGACAGCCCCAGACGTGGAACGCAGACGCGTCACCAGGTGACCCAGACCAAAGGAGGGTTGGCGAAACCTAAGGCTGCTTGGGGTGCGGCCACAGGTTAAGCTCGTAAGCGGCGTAGCGAACGGCGAACGGCCACAGAAAATGGGGTGCACCGGCATGGATTATGGAGGTGCGAGCCACCTCCATGACCAAACCGATGCGTCGCTCAGCGACCCCATTCTGCTGCGGGGAGTCCGGCGAGGTGAACGTCTGGATGATGCCCTCCGCACGACAGAAACGACCAAGGACACTAGAGGCAAACTCGCCACCACGGTCGGAGTGGAGGCACAAGACAGGGAGACCGCGACGGACACGCACAGCGACAAGCCACGGGATAAGAACGTCAGGCACGTCGGCCTTCCGCTCCAGGGGGAACACAGTGGTGTAGCGCGTGTAGTCGTCGACAACCACTAGGAAGTAGCGCTCTCAAAGCGGCCCATGGACGGGGGCGGGGCCCCAGACGTCCATGTGCAGAATCTGTAGCGGTGCGGCGGTAGGGGGAAACGAGGAGGAGTGAGGAGCACACCGAAGCCGGCCCTCGACACAAGGCATGCAAGGTGGGGCAGGGGAGGAGGGAAACTCAGAGAACGACCCGGGGAGACCTAGGACGAGACCGTGCTGTGACATGTGACGCAGACGCGGGAGCGCAGGGTGACCTAGACGGTGGTGCCACAGGAGAGTCGGGTGGGTGAGTGAGTGACAGGAGCAGGCAGCAACAACCTGGGTAGACGCAGCCACCTGAGGGGGGGTCCCTGCCGGGGGGGGTCATAGTGTCCAGTGTGAACAGTCCGGACACCGGGTCCCGGGGGAACGTGGTAAGGGGGGCACCAGTGGCGGCCTCGGTACAGACAGCGTACCGCTCGTGACCAGAGAACGTAGTGGTGACACCAAGGTCCTAGAGGCAGCCAACACCAACTAGGTTCCTGGAGAACGAGGTGATGTGCAGGCCTGTGAGAGAGCCCGAAGGAACCGCCGGGCAGGGGAGGGTGGTAGAACTGCGGGCGACTACAAGGCCAGAGAAGGGGTCAGCCAGGGAGACGGCGGCAGGGACAGGAAGCGGTGTCAACGTGGTGAGTTGCGGAAGAAGCACCGGGAAGCGCCAGAGTCGAGGGTGAAGGAGAGCGCGGTAGTGGCGGCCGGAGGCGAAGTAGCGACGGAAGCACCAACGCTAAACAAAGAAGGGGATCCTACGCCTGATGCAACAGGGGAGTCTAAGGAAGGCACACCTACACTAGGCAACTAGGGGTAATAAGACGGAAGCACACTAGAGTCATCAGCATACATCACATGCAGAGCAGTAACAATCTCATTCATGTCCACATAAAAAATCTGAACCCTTCGACTAAGCAAGCTGTGCCAATCTGGGAGCTCGGGCGACGGGCCGAAACGCTG